TTTTTTCCATGTTTTCACCAGTCTATATCATTTTACTTCAATAAGGAAAATAATAGGGAATTTATGTTACTATGAAATATGATTTTTAAGAAAGACATACTTGTTTTTCTTAATACTTGATTGAAAGGATGGATAATTCCATTTCAAAATATTTTTCTAGAAATTTATATTTACATTCACGTGCACATACCTTTCTTTATTGCAGGAAACAGAATCTCTTGATCAACTCCCCCTCTATTTTTCTCATGTTTGACAACACACTTGCGCTCTTTATCCATTGATTCTTCAGTCACAGTTAGCCAGCTCATCTTCATGTAAGTGTCTTTAGTCTTCATGGTATCTCCCTGCTGGGATTCCAGAATCCTATTACCATACTTCTCTTTCCAAAATACTGTAATAACATCAGGGAAAAAGTTCTCGAGAAGACAAAGATGTGTCCCAGCCTTATGAAGCTTTATTTCAGTAAGTGAAGGAAGAAAAATCGTGGGCTTCGGGGAAGTGTCTGCATCAAAACTTTTATCTGTAGAGGAATATCAATTTAAAAGAATAATTGGAGCAACACAAATATTGCTTGTTAGCACATATCAGTAGGGGGACAAGTTGCCATTGAATTTGTGACCATCATGGTCTTTCATCTCACAGAGGTTGCAAAGTATTAATTATTGTCCTTACTTTACAGATGTGCAAAGAAGTTAGGTAGCTTCTCAAAAGTCACAGCTATGAAATGTCAGAGCCTGGATGAAAACTTGATCTTTCTTCTTTCTCAACATACTGAGGAGGATGTGACTTCTAACAAGGCTTTCTATGTTCATAATGCCACTTATTTTTTTTTTCTATCTCTTTGGTTTTCTGATAATGGAGCATTTTGTCAAGGTATAATTCAGAGGAGGGGAAGACAACCATGCCACTTTAGTGACCTCTGTAAATGAGGCTCTGTGGTCCCTTCCCCTTCTCAAGTGCTTTTCAAGTGCTTCCCTTGCCCATCCTTTTTCACTTCTGCTCTCT